TCTTCAGTTTCCTCATCTTTGTCTTTGGTGGTTGATGCATAAATTTGAATAATAGTAGTTGTGATAGTTAAGTTTATGTGTCAACTTGAGTGGGCCTGGTTGTATGGCTGGGCAGCTGGATATACTATTCCCCATGATGAGACTGGTAAACAACTCCATGATGGAATCTACTGTGAGCAGCTGAGTAGCTGCTTTAAGGATGTGGTCTCCTTCCTGTATATAAGGAGAAGCCGTGGGGAATGGTCTCTAGCTTATGGCACGCTTGAACCCTGCATGTTGCCGAGTCGTTGTTCAGCAGCCTGTCATGCTCTGCCAATCTTGGAACTTTTAATGGGCTTGAATTAATGGCCTGCCATGTGGTTTGGTAATATCAGGACTGTGCCTTGTTACTTGTCAGCCTTGGGCTTGGCAGCCTCAGCAGCCAGCACCAGCTTCAGTGGGCCGGGAGCTGGAGGCAAAGCTGAAGCCCAAGGCTGAGGGGCTTTCACGCAGCCCCTAGAGCTTGGCACTCTGAACTCTCACTTAAACCCTCCAAATTGTAAGAATAAACTCCTGTTTGTTAAGGCCATGCCATTTGTGGTATATTCCTGTCCGAATGGCACTAGGTAACCAGAACAGTAGTATTAACTGGTCTTCTTTGTAACTGTATGGATATTATCCTATCACTGACAGCATTGTAGGAGCTCTGATGGTGATTCATACTTCAAACATTCCATGTTCTGATTCTTAATGGATGTTTGCAGCTGTTTCTTCTCATTTTGAGTTGTGCCACATCAGCAAATGGAGGTCCCGAAAGCCTTCCTCCATCCACATCACTAAGGCTGGCTCTGCTTTGAGGAGGCAGCTCTTCCCCAGTTGTATTTTGAGTGCCTTCCAACCTGAGGGGCTCATCTTCCAGCACTTTGGCAGACAGTGTTTCAGTGCTATTCATAAGGTTTTCACTAGCCAGTTCTTTGAGTAGTGGATGGCCCCTTTCTTCTTCTGAGTCTGTCTTAGTCTGGAAGCTCCGCTGAAACCTATCCACCATGAGTAACCCTGCTGGCATTCGTAGCCTCCAGCTTCACAGCAACACGCAAGCCACCACAGTATGAGAAACTGACAGGTGAGTGGTGGCCTGTGTTACATAGCTGACAGGAAATACTTCCCTTTCATCCTCACAGTGACCTTCAGGGGAATATACTAATATTTTACACCCATTTTATGAGATAACAGAGGCACAGCTAGGTGAAGTATCTTGCCCAAGTCACATAGTTATTGAGAGTTTAAGATTCAACGCCAGCTCCTTCAGATCTGCAACCTAAATTGTGAAACCTAAGTTCCCACAGGAAACAAGTTATTGATTGCACATATAGGTAAAATGATTTTCTGTGAAAGCAAACAAATAAAAACCACACACACATACATACTGCACAAACCTTTTCTGCTACAAGAAGACCAAATTTTTCCTTTCTTTCCCTAAATATTTGGGACTTGCCACTTATAACCTCATTTGGTTTCTTTTTGTCTTCTGTAGTCTGAAGCTTTGTGTGTGTGTGTGTGTGTGTATACATGTATTTTCTTTTTTTCCATGAAAAGTCCAATCTCTCTGGTAGTCCATTTGCTTGTCTGCTTTATGGGGAAACATTTATTGAAACCAGCTTCTTCCAGGATTTTTTCATGTGAACTGAAGGCTTCGTTCTGGTCTGTAGAAGAGAGTTTTTATTCTCGTAATGATGTGAGGAAGGTGTGTAAGCCCTCCCCAGCTTTGCAGGGGTGCAGAAGCAGAAACTCCAGTGGAATTTTCTTCCTGTTAGTCACACAGAGTGGCTTTGCGTGTGTGTGTGTGTGTGTGTGTGTGTGTGTGTGTGGGATGGTGCATAGGTTTTGCGTGTGTATTAATGTTTTAGAGCATATTTTAATTATTTTAATGTTCACCTAAGATCTCAAATGACTATCATCTCTTTTCCCAAAGTGGCTTTGTTTCCTTTACTTTCACTGAGAAGACAGAGTGTTGGTGTTTTTTATTTCTGTCCAGTTCCTCAGAACTCACTTCCTCCACTTTTGTTCTTTTTCATCCCCCCCCCCTTGTCCTAAAGGCAGACTTGATGAACCCACACCAATATCTCTAGGGGACGATGGATTGCTCCTAATTGGGAAATGAACAGGTACTTGGAATTCTCTCTGAGTTAGTGAGTATATACTCAATTTACACTGGTGTACGTGGAAAGGAGCGTATGTTGACTGATGTAACAGTAAAGCCCAGCGATGAAATTGACTTCAGGCACGGCTGGATCTAGGGGCCCATGTGCTATCATTGGGCACCTGCTCCTTGACTCTGCTGGCTCTGCTTCTGTCCGAGTCAGTCTCATTCTCAAGCAATCACTTCCCAGCATGATAACCAGAAGCACTGCCACCTCCAGGTGTACGGCCTGTTGCTTGGGTAACCCAGGCAAAGAGTGCGGCTTTTTCCTAATAGGTCCAGCCAGAGTGTCAGGATTAGTCTTTGTTAATCTAATTTAGGTCATGCATCTACCTGGGGGTGAGCCTCTTAGCCTGGGAGCTGGAAGTTCCAAGTAACACTGAGGTGTGCACCCTTCAGGACCGCGCACGGAGCTTCAGTTGTCATGGAATTTGCTGGCTACGAAGTTCTGGTTCTAACAAGTTACCAAAAGCATTGTAACCCATTCTCTGATATCAAGACCTCTTTTCTTTTGGTATGTGGTGAAAACTCAACTCTTAGAAATCTAGATCAGACAGCTAGACATGAGGACTTTATTCTTCATCGAAGCACCAGATCAGCACTTCCATCCAAAGGAAGATTTGTTCCCCCCCCCCCCAAAAAATGGCTTTTTCTCTGACTATAAAGAGCTAACCAAAAGACTGGCAGTTTAAACCCACCATTCCATCCCTGCTGGAGGAAGATAAGGCAGTCTGATTCCATAAAGATTTACAGCCTTAGAAACTGTGTGGGCCAGTTCAACTCTGTGCTATAGGGTTGCTATGAGTTGAAATTGACTTGACAGCAATGGGTTTGGGGGTTTATCAGTCTGAAAGAGCCCTGGTGGTTCAGCCGCTTAACTGAAAGGTTGGCAGTTTGAGCTGCTAGCCGTTTCACAGAAGTAGGATGTGGCAGTCTGCTTCCATAAAGCTTACAGCCTTGGAAGCCCTGTGGAGCAGTTCTACTCTGTCCTCTAGGGATGCTGTGGGTCAGAATCAACACCACGGCAGTGGGTTTGATTTGGGGTTTGCTTCTGTGAAGCTTACAGCCTTGGAAACACTATGGGGTGTTTCTGTTCGGTCCTATAGGGTCGCCATGAGTTGGGATGGACTCAACAGCAACAGGTTGGTAACGTTGTTGTTTACTGCTGGTTCCTTAGGTTCTCACCCAGGGAAGAGAGGAAAAGGAGAGGCATCAGTGGATGGTCTTGGCATTTGAAAAGCCCTTCCTTGTTTTGAACCTTCACCTCTCCTTTTCTGTCATCTGTTTCCTCCTCTCCTCGCATGGCCCATCCCCACAATTCATTTATATGCACCCTGACACTGCAGCCGCCTCACTCGCTTACTTGGGGCCCTGACGCCTCCATCCATCACTTCCTCCCTGTCCTCTCTCCTCCGCCTACAGTTTCTCCCTCTCTTCCCTCCCGGGAATAATATTTACTGCTGTTATGAATTCCTGCACCACAGAAAAACGGTTCAGAAGAGCTAGAAGATATCACCATTGAGGTGGCACCGTGATGTCCTTGAGGTCCGGGCTTGTGAGGAGCCCCGGGTCTGTGCTCCCGGGCATTTGTGGCCATTTCCTCTCTGCTCCCTGTGGCTGCTGAAACGAGTTCTGATGAGAGCCAAGTTCTCTCTGGCCCCGTCTCTTTCCCTCTCGCTCACTCTCACTCGAGACACTCTGTGTTTGACAAAACAATTGATGGATGGGTGTGTGTGTGTGTGTGTGTATGGATAGGTGTGCATGTTTCCTATTACATATTAATGAGCAACTCCAGCAGACCAAAAGAAATTTCAATTCTCCCCTTTCTCTTCTCTCTGTCTTTCTGCAAATAGATAGTAAGGAGTGTCTGACTACAAATGTATAAAGCAAAATGCAGTATTGGCAAAGGAATGAGAAAAAACCTTAAAAATAATCACCAAACCAGTTGCCATCGAGTTAGCTCTGACTCATGACAACCCTTGTGTTTTGGAGTAGAACTCCATCCCGTAGGCTTTCGATGGCTGGTTTGTTGAACATAGATTCATAGATTTTCAGGCCTTTCCTCTGAGGCACCTCTGGGTTTTCAGTTAGCAACTGAGCACGTTAACCATTTGCACCACACAATAGTGAGTATTACCCTGGAACAAGGGGCTCTGTGGTGTAGTGATTACGGCATTTGGCTGTTAACCAGAAGGTCAGTGGTTCGAACCCACCAACCACTCTGTGGAAGAAAGATGAGGCATTCTGCTTGTATAAAGATTTACAGCCTTGGAAACTCAGTGGGGCAACTGAGTCAGAAGCAACTCAATGGCAGTGAGTTTGGTTTTTGGTTTGCCCTAGGAAAAGGCCTTGTACCAGAATTTTTTGTATGCGTTTTCTCTGTTGAGTACCACAGCAGCCCTGCATGGGAGCTACTATTGTGCATGCTTTGTGAATGAGGACAGAATGCAGCTAGCAGCACTCGGGTGACTTCCCTGAGCTCACAAGAGAATCTTGATCTTTAAATGGGGTTTCAAATGTCTTGGTCTTTCTTTTTTTTCTCAAAATTACACCACTTTACAAACGGGACCTGGGAAAGAAGATAGTTCAGCTGTAGGGGGTTACAGAGGCGAGGGCAGGAATAGGTGGATGTGAAAACCAGAGCCTTCCCAGGATCCCCGGAGAAGGCAGGACTTGCTCTGTGCACACCGTCATAGGACGCCCCACGTGCCAGGGGTGCCAGGGCTGAGAAACCTTGTTCTTGCTCCAGAGCCCTTGCATGCAACTGCTGTCCTCACTACCTCCCAGTTGACATGGTGACAGTGTCTCCGCCAGGGTTCCCATGAAGGTGAAAGCAGGTAATTAAGATGCGGGGACTAGTACAGCACCTGGGAGCTTCGTAGGTGTGCAGTAACTGACCTCTCCTCACCAACCTTCCCTTCTCTTCTGAGAAGAGCGGGATCAGGAAGTGGCTGGGCAGCTAACTTCAGTTTCCCAGGGTGAGCAGAGAACCACGCAGTCCCAGTGCATCATGGCCTGTGTCTATAAAGCATTGGGAGTCCATTATGAATCCTTGAATTTCCTCGCTTGGTTCAGGACCCGCTGTTTCTGTTTGTGTTTACAGTCGATTTGGGAATCAGTGTCCCGGAGGACAATGCGGCCGTCTCTTCCCCCGAGACAATGGAGATGAGCAGCGTTGCCTATGCCAGCGGGAAGCATCTTGGGAAGGGAGCCAGACCCCACGCACCAGCTGCTAGATCTCGTTTTTTCTTGACGCTCTCTGGGTACGTACCAGGACGTGCCGGAGACCAAGCCACAGATTCATCCGCCGCCTCCGTGGGGCTTGATGTCAGCTCCGGTGAAGCCCCAGGGAACAAAGCCCCAAGTGAGAGCATGGCACTCCCGGCGGCAGCTGCAGCGGGGCCCAGCCCCGATAAAACCCCGGGGCAGACCCCCGCCGAGGACCACGCCACCCCTGCCTCCTCGGGACCAGCGCCTCTCGGCCTTGAGTCACAGGGAGCAGCCCCCAGCAAGCGCAAGGACTCCAGCTTTTTTGAAAAAGTCTTCAAACTGGACAAGGGACGTGAGAAGGCACCAGTTGACATCCAGCATCAAGAAATAGCTATTGAAGTGGCTGGATTATCCAGGCCGCCCAGCGATGTCCCAGCCCAGCAGGCAAGTGCTTAAACAGGAATATTTCGTTCTCTCCAGGTGCACGCTCAGGGAGCAGGAATGGGGTAGCACAGCCCACTGCACACATGTTGCCTAGAGTCACGGAGGGCCTTTGACAAGGTATCAAGCGTTGATCCTTCTAGAACAAATAGCACATTGTAGGGTGCTACCTCCCCAGTGTTTCAGTGGGCAGAAACATCTGTTGGAGGAATGGGAACAGCTGTGGCATCTGTTTTGTGTAGAAGGAAAGAGAAGGTGTATTATCCAGAGATGAGTTCAACCTTCCATTTATCAAAGGTGGAGGTAGACAGGTTCCATTTCTCATCAGTGGAGTCTGGAGGGAAAGAGTTTAGCAGAATTCAGAGGGTTCCTGGAAGGCTTGGACACCCAGCCTGGTCTCAGTACCCTGCTGGACATGCACTGTGGTTTATAGGGTTTCATTGGGACACATTTCCTTCCCTGCCTTTAACTGTCTGGATTGACCTTTGGCCACCTCTGACACGAGGGCCCAGTTGGATGAAGAGCCTTTACAGGTCAGGGCAGGCCCTTGTATGGACTGGTTGGGTTTCCACCAAGTTGGAGCAGTATCTTTGTCAAAACCAGTTGTTGTTTTCAAAGCAGGTATCTGCTCGTGAGCTGCTCTCTTCCTCAGTAAAGGAAAGCAAGTTCATTTTGATGTTAAAAATAGCACTTGCTTTTAACCTTGAGAACTGGTTTATATATTCTGGGCAAGACTTTCTTGAAGGAAGAAGAAATAAAAGTTAAGACATTGTATTTTTAAGGTATCTGTTCCTTGCCTAATAGACTTTTAAATAACTATTTTGCAGCATAGTGCCTAAGGCACTTGACTGCTAACCAGAAGGCTGGAGGTTCAAACCCACCAGCCACTCCTCGGAAGGAAGATGGGGCAATCTACTTCTGTAGTGATACTGCCTCGGAAACCCAAGGAGGGGTTGCTGTGAATCGGCACATAACACCACCACCAACAACAACAATTTTCACAAATAAGAAATAAAGTCACATGTTTCTAGTTGAGCTTGAGGAGCCCTGGTGGTACAGAGGCTAAGCGCTCGGCTGCTAACCGAAAGGTGGGCAGTTTGAACCCACCGGCCAATACGTGAAAGAAAGATACGCCTATCTGTTTCTATACAGCCTTGGAAGCCCTAGGGCACAGTTCTGTGCTGTCCTGCAGAGTTGCGATGAGTTGGAACCAATGGCAGTGGGTTTGGTTTTTAATTGAATTTAGAACCAGAAAATATTTTTAAATGGGCTTGGTTTTCCATTACCCGGTTGCACATTGTAGCCATGAAGGTATTTCACTATTGAAGCCATAGATGTATTTGGCTTAATAACAAGGTAGCCACACTCTGCGAAGAGCCCTCGTAGCACAATGGTCACTTGCTCAGCTGCTAACTTAAAGGTCAGCTGTTGGAACCCACCCAGCAGCTCCACGGGACGTAAGACCTGGCGATCGGCTTCTGTACAGATTACAGCCTAGAAAGCGCTGGGGCGGTTTCCTGTCACATGGGGTCAGTGTGCATCAAAACAATACCCACAGCCACGGCCTGAAGAGAATGTGGTACGAATACTGGCTGTCAGTTAGTAAGCACTTAATGTACCCATCTGTTTATTATACTTACATTCCTTTCTTTGATGAAAATGACAATCACGCTGATGTGTGGTTTTAATACGTCAAGGGTGGCATCAAGTATTCTTAGATACACCTGAAAACTGCACAGTTAGAATTGGGAGCATAATAAGGGTCATGTTCTTAGGCTCTGGGGGTACAAACTCTCTCCACCGTGATCCAAAAGGTCGGTGGTTCAAGTCCACATCGAGGTGCACTGGAAGAAAGCCCTGGCTGTCTGCTAACAAACAATCAGCCGCTGAAAACCCTGGGGGCACAGTTCAGCCCTGACACGCGGGCCTCGCCGTCAGAGAAGATCCCCTCGAGGGGGAGCGGTCCTGGCCTTAGGCCCTTCCTGTCCGCATGTTTGCTGTTTTCTCAATTTTGAGTCAGAGAGCTTATTTTCAGCATTTCTTTCCAAAGGTTAAAAAATGTCCCTTCAAGTGCCCACTTCCCAGAATGCACCCGTTCAGTAAGGCAGCGGAATGGTTTTCAGTACAGTTCAGTCTTCGAATGCAACCGAGGAAAAGTTGTGCCCTCCATCGAAAGGCTGTGAGGAACAACACCTCCATCTGAGTGGAAGGACTACCAGAGTGAGATTTGAGTCCCAGGACAGGGGCTTGTGTGGGGAACATGTCAGGTCCGTAATGCAGCCAAGCTCGTGGGGGACATGCTGGAGTCACAGTCCTCACTCAGCAAGAATTAATATGGTAACCTGTCTTCCTTCCTGAATAAATAAGTTAGCTCCCTCAGGTTCACCAGTAGCATCTGCATGTTTTTGTTACCTGCAAAGTTCCATTTTCTGTTGGTGGTATCACTGGAATATGAAATACTGAGTGTCTGTCCTGTGTATGTGCATATGGAGAAGCACGAACTAGCCATTTCTCCTTCAACCTGTGCACTTGGGGATACTCAAATACATGTGTCTGCAAGGGTATTTTATTATTATTATTATTATTATTATTATTATTTTATTTTATTTAATTTTTATTAGGATTTGGGTGAAGATTTACAGAGTAAATTCACTTTTCATACAGCAGTTCACATATACTTTGTCTCATGTCATTGACCAAAATTTACAATGCAGCAGCTCCCCTCCCACTTCCTCCCCACAGTTACCTCCTCCCAGTGTCCATCCCTTCATACTCTTCTGCGCCCTGAGCTGTCTCCCTGTGCATAAGCAGCCCTTCCTTCTCCCATGAGTGTTCTCTCCAGGGCATGTGTCTACTTGAGGTAAATGTTTCACTCACATGCCTGTACTTTGTTTGGCTGGAAACCACAGTTGTGGGTTCAATTCCAGACCTGAAGGGCAGCTAGGGGCCATAGTCTCAGTGGTTCCACCAGGCTCTATTGGACCAGCAAACCTGGTCCCCACCTTCTTTTTTTTTTTTTTTTTTTGCCTCCAAATGATTTTGAGTTTTGTTCCACATTGTTCTCCCTCTCTATGCAGGATCTCCTACATCTGCAAGGGTATTTTTAAAAAGCAATAAAAAACTGGTCTTTTGATTATTAAGGCTGCTCGTTTGATCTCTGGTTGCTCAATTCTGTGTTTGGGGGTTATCAGTTTTTCTACAAGAGTGATGAACCAGCCCTCAGAGAGCGATAAGGATAAAACTTCTCAAACAGAGGCTTTGTTGGTGAGAGCGTTACTTACACAGAGGTGGCCGCCAGTGTATTGATTCAGAATTCTTAGGGTCAGTGATGTCCAGTTCGGCCTTGTCAGCTGTCCCTCCCTCCCAGCCATGCAAGCCCTTCCCCCCACATTGGCGGCTTCTCGCTGGATTGGAATGCCAGCCACAAAACCCCAAGTGTGAATGGGGAGAGGGATGCCACCGTTTCATATTCTTGGGGTGAAATACAAAATCTTCTGTGTTTGCAGAATGACAATCTTATTTTTGTGCCCTCAAAAAACTACATTCAGAGCATAGCATAATTAAAACAAGGCAAGAATTCATGGACAAATGCAGCCTTTAGTAACACAGGCCAAAGAAAAGATCAGTTGTATGCCTGAAAGGTCTCTCTGAGCTGAGATTCACACAAACCAATGTGCTGGCAGCGATGAGATGTTTTTTCTCTCACTCCCCCCAGCCACTGAACCGAAGCTATAAGATACACATTTAAAAGATGGCTCACAGAAAACAGTTGTCACATAATGGGAAGTTGACCTTTATTGGTTGAACACAACAACACGCCTTCTGTCATCAGCATGGTACCTCCAGAGGTGTCCATGTGGTGAAGGGTGATGCTTCAAGACTTGCCAAGCACTGTTTCATGAGATTTAACGCAAATGTCCCTTTACCTTTAGAATTTAGATTTTACAATTGTATAAACACTAACCTTGTACAAGCCATTTGAAATATAAATTACAGGCCTGGCCTTTCAGGAGCCTTGGAGGGGGTTTAGTTTGTTAAGGGCAATTGTGTTGAGTGAATTGGTCCTCACATTTGCTCAGACTTCGGATATTAAGAGCAGTAGTCCATGTCCCCCATTCCTCCTCTACTTTTCTCTCTTGAACACGCTCCATCCAATCTTTTGTCTCGACAAAACTGCTTTTGTCAGAGTCACCGTGACAGCGCACCTCCCCCATCTCCCACCCCAGCTGCCGAATCCTCTGAGTCTCATCTGACTAGACCTGGCAGCCGAATCTGACATCCCTTCCTTCAGGAAGCATCGTCCCGTCTTGGTTTCCAGGTCCTCTCACGTTCCTGGCCACTCTTCTGTGATGTCTTCTGCTGAGTCATGTCTCTAAACCTTGGAGTTTCCCAGGGCTCAGCTCCCCAGGTCTCTGTCCTTGGACTTCTTCTCTAGCTAGACTGACTTCCTTGTAGATCTCCTCTATTCCCAAAGGTTTAAATACCTGGTGGCAAGTCCCAAATTTGTATCTCTAGCCTAGACCTAGGAGCTCTGGTGACAGGGTGGTGAAAGCGTTGGGCTGCTAACCAAAAGGTCGGGGGATCGAACCCTCTAGCCTCTCTGTGGGAAAAAGAAGAGGCAGTCCATAAAGATTTACAGCCTTGGAAACGCTACAGGGCAGTTCTCTGTCTTACAGAGTCACTGTGAGTCAAAGGGCTCGGTCTGGGTTTAGCCTAGAACTTCCCCTTGAAGTCCAGACGGTTTCCAGCTGCCCTCTTCTACAGGTCTCCTTGAATTTCTGCATGTCCAGTTGCTGCTTCCTGACTATCTCATCCTCACTATGTCCAAAACTGAACCCTTGATTCACGCCTAAAGCAGCAGCATCGTGCCCACCTGTTTGATCACAGGCTTCCTCCGCTCAGCTAGCAGAGTCCCATCCTGCCTCTACTGTTTGGTAGCAAATGAAAGCTCCCGGGTCTCCAGCAGTCTTTTCTAAATGGTGTTCAGTTGTGGTTACTGCTTA